ATCGCTGAGATCCTGGTTGAAGACAGCAGAGGTGTATTTAGAGGGTAAGTTAGTCAGGATGATATCTATGAGGGTACCCATGTTTACAGATTTAGGGTTGTAACTGGTAGGTTGGTTGATAATTTGTGTGAGATTGAGGGCATCTAGTTTAGATTGTAGGATGGCCGGGGTGTTAAGCATATCCCAATTTAAGTCACCAAGCAGTACGAACTCTGAGGATAGATGGGGGGCAATCAATTCACATATGTCCAGGGCACAGCTGGGGGCTGAGGGGGGTCTGTAGCAAGCGGCAACAGTGAGAGATTTATTTCTGGAAAGGTGGATTTTTAGAAGTAGGAGCTCAAACTGTTTGGGCAAAGACCTGGATAGTATGATAGAGGTCTGCAGGCTAACTCCACCCCCTTTGGCAGTTCTATCTAGACGGAAAATGTTATAGTTGGGGATGGAAATTTCAGAATTGTTGGTGGCCTTCCTAAGCCAGGATTCAGACACTGCTAGAACATCAGGGTTGGTGGAGTGTGCTAACGCAGTGAATAACTCAAACTTAGGAAGGAGGCTTCTGATATTTACGTGCAATAACCCAAGGCTTTTACGGTTACAGAAGTCAACAAATGATAGCTCCTGGGGAGTAGGAGTGATACTGGGGGCTGCAGGGCCTGGGTTAGCCTCTACATCACCAGAGGAACAGAGGAGGAGTAGAATAAGGATACGACTAAAGGCTTTTTTGAACTGGTCTTCTAGTGCGTTGGGTACAGAGAATAAAGGGGGCAGATTTCCGGGCGTTGTAGAAAAGATTCAGGGCATTATGTACAGAAAAGGATATGGAAGGATATGAGTACAGTTGAGGTAAACCTAAGCGTTGGGTAACAATGAAAGAGATAGCATCACTGGAGGCACCAATTGAGCCGGTCTCGGCGCGTATGGGGGGAGGGCAATAAATAGGCCATCGTGCAAAATAATTACAATTAGTATTAACACTGGAACGATACATGTGCAAGAGATGATGTGCAAATAGAGATACTGGGGTACAAATGAGCAAAATAAATAACAATATAGGGATGAGGTAGTTGGGCGGGCTAATTTCAGATGGGCTGTGTACAGGTGCAGTGATCGGTAAGGTGCTCTGACAACTGATGCTTAAAGTTAGTGAGGGAGATAAGAGTCTCCAGCTTCAGAGATTTTTGCAGTTTGTTCCAGTCATTGGCAGCAGAGAACTGGAAGGAATGGCGGCCAATGGAGGTGTTGGCTTTGGGGATGACCAGTGAGATATACCTGCTGGAGCGCATACTACGGGTGGGTGTTGCTATGGTGACCAATGAGCTAAGATAAGGCAGGGATTTGCCTAGCAGTGATTTATAGATGGCCTGGAGCCAGTGGGTTTGGCGATGAATATGTAGTGAAGACCAGCCAACAAGAGCGTACAGGTCACAGTGGTGGGTAGTATATGGGGCTTTGGAGACAAAACGGATGGCACTGTGATAGACTACATCCAATTTGCTGAGTAGAGTGTTGGAGGCTATTTTGTAAATGACATCGCCGAAGTCAAGGATCGGTAGGATAGTCAGTTTTACGAGGGCATGTTTGGCAGCATGAGTGAAGGAGGCTTTGCCTGCTCACTGAAGTGTTTTAGGGAGCGTTTGACAGTGATGAGGGGTGGTCGTTTGACCGCGGACCCGTTACGGACGCAGGCAATAAGGCAGTGATCGCTGAGATCCTGGTTGAAGACAGCGGAGGTGTATTTAGAGGGTAAGTTAGTCAGGATGATATCTATGAGGGTGCCCATGTTTACGGATTTAGGGTTGTACCTGGTAGGTTCCTTGATAATTTGTGTGAGATTGAGGGCATCTAGTTTGGATTGTAGGATGGCCGGGGTGTTAAGCATATCCCAGTTTAGGTCACCAAGCAGTATGAACTCTGAGGATAGATGGGGGCAACCAATTCACATATGGTGTCCAGGGCACAGCTGGGGGCTGAGGGGGGTCTGTAGCAAGCAGCAACAGTGAGAGACTTATTTCTGGAAAGGTGGATTTTTAGAAGTAGGAGCTCAAACTGTTTGGGCACAGACCTGGATAGTATGATAGAGCTCTGCAGGCTCTCTCTACAGTAGATTGCAACTCCAACCCATTTGGCAGTTCTATCTAGATGGAAAATGTTGTAGTTGGGGATGGACATTTCTGAATTTTTGGTGGCCTTCCTAAGCCAGGATTCAGACACTGCTAGAACATCAGGGTTGGCGGAGTCTGCTAACGCAGTGAATAACTCAAACTTAGGAAGGAGGCTTCTGATGTTAATGTGCAGAAAACCAAGGCTTTTATGGTTACAGAAGTCAACAAATGATAGCTCCTGGGGAGTAGGAGTGATACTGGGGGCTGCAGGGCCTGGGTTATCCTCTACATCACCAGAGGAAGACTAGAATAAGGATATGGCTAAATGCTTTAAGAACTGGTCTTCTAGTGCGTTGGGTACAGAGAATAAAGGGGGCAGATTTCCAGGCGTTGTAGAATAGATTCAGGGCATTATGTACAGACAAGGATATAATAATAATAATAATAATAATATGCCATTTGGAAGGATATGAGTACAGTGGAGGTAAACCTAAGCGTTGGGTAACAATGAAAGAGATAGCATCACTGGAGGCACCGATTGAGCCGGTCTCGGCGTGTATGGGGGGTGGAACAAAGGAGCTATTTGAGGCAGTTTGAGAGGGACTTGGGGTTCTACAGTGAAATTGTATAACAAGAACTAACTGGAACAGCAATAGTCAAGGCATATTGACATGGGAGAGAGGCATAAAGCAATCACAGGTGTTATTAGAGAGAGCTAAGAAAACAGCTGGTAATGGCAATGAAAGTTTGGGCTGAGGCTAAACAGATAAACAGGACAGGGTACCGTGTATAGGAACAGTCCAGCAGGCATCAGCTGTGCAGCTGAGTGATCATAAGGTCCAGTGAACAGCAATATGTGAGTCAGAGAGCAGTTCGAATTGGTGCTACAGCACAGCGAGCAGGAAGTACGGCTGTTGTTTGCATGTGCTAGCGGGCCAGGGCTAGCAGATGGATCTTCGTGGTCGTCGCAACGGGAAGCCTGTTGAAACCACAGACGATTACGTCGGCAGACCAGTCATGATGGATCGGCGGGGCTCCGTGTCTACTCTAGGAGGTCCCGTCCGGTTGACAGAGAGGTAGATAGCCGGGAGATGTGCCTGACTCGAGGCTAGCTCAAGGCTGATTAGCCAACAACAACATCCATTTGGTTGCAGCTAGCTAGTTGCGATGATCCGGTGTTAAAGGTCCAGTGATTCAGTGATTCCGGCAGAAAATCCAATATGTTCTGGGTCGATAACGCGCTGTGCAGACAGTGCAAACTGGCCGATAATAGTCCAGGCTAGAGCTGGCTGGTAGGTAGTGCAGGCCACGGACAATGGTGAAAAAACGCTAACGGTGGCTAATAGCAAGTAGCTAGGTAGCTGGCTATTCCCGTCCGGTAGACAAAGAGGTAGATAGCCGGGATATGGGCCTGGCTCGAGGCTAGCTCAAGGCTAACTGGTGCTTGCTTCGGGGGCAGAGGTGATTAGCCTACAGCAACATCCATTCGGTTGCGGCTAGCTAGTTGCGATCCAGTGTTAAGGTCCAGTGATTCAGTTATTCCAGCAGAAAATCAGATGTTCTGTGTGAAAACCGCTAACGGTGGCTAATAGCAAGTAGCTAGTTAGCTGGCTAGCTAGTTTCAGCTGGAGATTCTAGATAAAAGGTGAGTAAATAATAGAATCCGTTCCATATTGAGTGAGTGAGGCGGGTTGCAGGAAAGTATATTTAGTAGAAGGATGAAAAGTGTGATAGGGAAATATATACGTAAAATACAACAAAAAAAATACAAAAAACAGGCAATTTACACAGACACCAACAGAGAACACGAGCGCACTGCTACGCCATCTTGGAACTAGAAGGGAAGGGGTTATACTTCTTTGTCTTCCACCACACTGCACCCATGTCCTGCAGCCACTGGACGTGGCATACTTTGGCCCTTTAAAGAATTTGCCAGAGTATTCCGCTACCCGTACCAGAGCTGCAAGGACATGCCTATGTGGTGGAAGGGTTTAAGAAGTGTGGCCTCTTCCCTTTTGACCACGCCTCTTCTTCTGTGGGGTTTATCGGCAATGGTATGGTGCATTACCGCCACCTACTGTACTAAAGCGCCCCCCGCCTGTGTACCGGAGTCCTATCTTAAAAATGGACCAATATAAGTATAAAGAGGGGTTCCTGCAGATGCAGGAATGCCCAAATGCAGGAACCGCAGTTGCACCCTTTTCCTCCAGCTAGTGAACATAAAAGTAAGTATTTTGGGGGGGAAATGTAATAATTGACATTGCCAACAAACGGAAATGTGTTCGGCCGAAATAAATATACACAATATGTAATAACCAGCTCCTCCCTCGGCAGTGATCGATCATCTCGAAAACTAAAGCAGATAGTTTATGGCCCACCACCTAATCCCCCTCTTTATTAAACCATCTGCCAGTGCCATAGAAAGAATCAAGCTTTTTTGTGATACAATGTTATATGTTTATGACGACGGACTGAAGGCTGTTTATAAAGATAACTAAACAATAATATGCATACATTCATATCAATTTAAACGCTGACATCTTCCTCAACCTTCTCTCTTCCTCACCGCCCTGTCTGCAAAAGATCATCAGTTGAAATGAAAGGACCACTGGCACTGACCAGCAGTGTCATGAGCTACCAGTAACATAGCGTTTTATGCTGCTTTCTAGCTACCATTGCACAAATACACAATGTATTTACTCACTTTTTTAGGATCGCACGGCACCCGCGATAAATGTGTTATCTCTGTCCATTATACCGATTTGAAGAAGGTTTTAATTATCCGGAGGCGAATAATTGAAAGAGAGATACACTGGCGCGAGCTTCGTTTAGCACAAACGCTTCTCCTTTACTGCGCAGACTCAGTGCTGCAAGGTATTCTGGGTATTTAGCTAAGTCCTTTTCTTTCCACTCCGCGTGTAGTTCATGCTGAACCGATTCCCTGCCTTTGCTAGCTACGGTAGTTAGATACACTGCTTCGTCAGAACTATGTCGTTCAGTTTCAACTTCGATGTGCAGTTAACGACAAAGGGGCAACAAGGTGAAGAAAGACAACCACAAACTGGAAAGCAGGACTATGCAGTAAAACCTGTGAGTAACAGAGCTAGCTAGCTCGAGCCACTAACGTCAGTTCTGAGCGGTCCCAAATAATTCCCCAGGCTTTTTGGGCTTTTACCCAAGAGCAGAATTCCTGCTAAATAAATGGAACTTTTTTTATAAAATAGAAGTAACCTTGGCTTTATATTCTTTTTTAAAGGGATGGTGTGCAGCTGACCCAGTATCTGCGTTAAGGGCCATCCACACCAAGGACGATAACTATAACGATAAATTATAGCAACATAACTATAAACTTTGGCGAGTATCCTCACCAGCGGATCGTTTATCGTTCTGCAGTATACCTGTAAATCAACTGATCAACGCATCCTACTGTATGCTGTAGGCCTATTAATAAGTAGCCCTTGATCACATACCTGCAGGAAGTAGGGGTGCTGAGTATCCTGCATCACCCCCTGATAAATCAAAACAATTATACCAACTCCAAAAAATTACATTTTTGTGGTGTGAACGCTCCTGTTCACTTGAATTAGAAAACATTTTTATCTTAATAGTTATTGTCCTTGGTGTGGACAGCCCTTTAGAGATGTCAATGATAAATATAATATGCCATTTAGCAGACGCTTTTATCCAAAGCGACATTTGCTACCAAGCCATAAATGTGAATAATATCTAACAAGGAGAGCGAGGGTAGGAAAAAATATGAAGCTATGATGCACTGTCTGTCTGACTCAAATCTGCCCATAGTTTGAGAAGTGAGAACGCACACATGTGCTGATCTACAGCTTTCTTGGTCCATAAACATGCAGGAAGATTATTAGGTACAGTGCCTTCAGAAAGTTTTCACATCCCTTGACATTTTCCACGTTTTGTTGTGTTACAGACTGAATTTAAAAATGAAATGAATTTCGAATTTGTTAGTCACTGGCCTACACACAATACCCCATAATGTCAAACTGGAATTATGTTTTTCTAAATGTTTGCAAATGAATCGCTCTGTGTGCAATAATGGTGTTGAACATGATTTTTTAATGACTACCTCATCCCTGTACCCCACACATACAATGATCTGTAAGGTCCCTCAAATCTAGCAGTGAATTTCAAACCGATTAAACCACAAAGACCAGGGAGGTTTTCCAATGCATCACAAAGAAGGGCACCTATTGGTAAAAAACCAGACACTGAATATCCCTTTGCGCATGGTGAAGTTATTAATTACACTTTGGATGGTGTATGCATACACCCAGTCAATGCAAAGATAAGTCCTTCCTAATTCAGTTGTCGGAGAGGAAGGAATCCGCTCAGGGATTTCACCGAGGCCAATGGTGACTTTAAAACAGTTACAGATTTTAATGGCTGTGATCGAAAACTGAGGATGGATCAACAACATTGTAGTTACTCCACAATACTAACCTAATTGACAGAGTGAAAAGAAGGAAGCCTGTACAGAATAAAAATATTCCAAAACGTGCATCCTGTTTGCAACAAGCCACTAAAGTAATATTGCAAAATAATGTGGCAAAGCAATTCACTTTTTGTCCTGAATACAAAGCATTTGTTTGGGGCAAAACAAAACATTACGGAGTACCGCTCTCCATATTTTCAAGCATAGTGGTGGCTGCATCATGTTATGGGTATGGTTGTTATCATTAAGGACTGGGGAGTTTTTCAGGATAAAAAAGAAACTGAATTCAGCTAAGCAAAATCCTAGAGGAAAACCTGCTTCAGTCTGCTTCCCACCAGACACTGGGAGATTAATTGACCTTTCAGCAGGACAATAACCTAAAACACAAGGCCAAATCTACACTGGAGTTGCTTACCAAGAAGACCGTGAATGTTCTTGGGTGGCCGAGTTATATTAGTGTTTTATTTTTCAAATTTTGTACGCATTTTTCTTCCACGTTGACATTAGAGTATTTTGTGTAGATCGTTGACAAAAAAAGGACAAATCCATTTTAATCCAACTTTGTAACAGAACAATGTGGAAAACGTTAAAGGGTGTGAATACAGTGAAGGCACTGTAGCTAAACCTATTGCCAACCTTTTTTTATTTTGGCATTTTAAAACGCTTCCTCCTTTCCCTATTAAGACAATCATCTTCTCCGACTGTCAACTGTCAATTTACGGATACGATAAATATATACAGTGGATATAAAAAGTCTACACACCCCTGTTAAAATGCCAGGTTAAATCATGTCAGAACTTTCCCCACTGTTAATGGGACCTATAACGTGGACAATTCAATTGAAAAACAAACTGAAATCTTTGAGGGGGAAAATAAAAAACTCACAATAACCTGGTTGCATAAGTGTGCACACCCTTAAACTAATACTTTGTTGAAGCACCTTTTGATTTTATTACAACACTCAGTCTTTTTGGTTAGGAGTCTATTAGCATGGCACATCTTCACGTGGCAATATTTGCCCACTCTTCTTTGCAAAAGTGCTCAAAATCTGTCAGATTGCGAGGACATCTCATGTGCACAGCCCTCTTCAGATCACCCCAGAGATGTTCAATTGGATTCAGGTCTGGGCTCTGGCTGGGCCATTCCAAAATGTTAATCTTCTTCTGGTGAAGCCATGCTTTTGTAGATTTGGATGTGTGCTTTGTGTCGTTGTCGTGCTGAAAGATGAACTTCCTCTTCATCTTCAGTTTTCTAACGGACACCTGAAGGTTTTGTGCCAAAATTACCTGGTATTTGGAACTGTTCATAATTCCCTCCACCCTGACTAAGACCCAGGTTCCAGCTGAAGAAAAACAGCCCCAAAGCATGATGCTGCCACCACCATGCTTCACTGTGGGTATGGTGTTTGGGTGATGTGCAGTGTTGTTTATGCGCCAAACATACCTTTTGGAATTATGGCCAAAAATGTCAACCTTGGTTTCATCAGACCATAACACATTTCCCCACGTGCTTTTGGGGGACTTGATGTTTGTTTTTGCAAACTTCAGCCGGGCTTAGATGTTTTTCTTTGTAAGAAAAGGCTTCCATCTTGCCACCCTACCCCATAGCCCATTCATATGAAGAATACGGGAGATTGTTGTCACATGTAGCACACAGCCAGTACTTGCCAGAAATTCATGCAGTTCCTTTAATGTTGCTGTAGGCCTCTTGGAAGCCTCCCTGACCAGTTTTCTTCTCGTCTTTTCATAAATTTTGGAGGGACGTCCAGTTCTTGGTAATGTCTCTTTTGTGCCATATTTTCTCCACTTGATGATGTCTTCACTGTGTTCCATGGTATATGTAATGCTTTGGAAATTATTTTGTACCCTTCTCCTGACTGATATCTTTCAACAATGAGATCCCTCTGATGCTTTGGAAGCTCTCTGCGGACCATGGCTTTTGCGCTGAGATGCAACTAAGAAACTTTTAGGAAAGTCCTACTAGAACAGCTGAACTTTATTTGTGATTAATCAGAGTCATTGTAAATGATGGCAGGTGTGTAATGACTTCTATGTAACATGAGTTTGAATGTGATTGGATAATTCTGAACACAGCCACATCCCCATTTATAAGAGGGTGTGCACACTTATGCAACCAGGTTATTGTAAGGTTTTCATTTTTCCCCCTCAAAGATTTCAGTTTGTTTTTCAATTGAATTGTTCACATTATAGGTCACATTAACCGTGGAAAAAAGTTCTGACAAGATGTATTTTCGTCTCGTTCTTTTACATCACATAAACCTGGCATATTAACGGGGGTGTGTAGACTTTTTATATCCACTGTAGCTAGCTATCACCACAGATGAAAGGATTAGTTATCATAATCTTTGTTAACAATTCACAGAGCTATCTGCTTAGCTAGCTTGCTTATTGCATGCATGTCCGGGCACGTCGACGTGAGCCTTATTATTAGTGAATTAACTCAACTAATATTTGCAACAGGAGTTACGTTTTGTTTACTGTCAATTCATCCATTTCGCAATACTGCACATTTCTGTTGGAAAATGAGCTAGCTTGCTGCTGATTTTCCCAGCTAGACATTCCTCTGCGTTGTGCAGTGCTCGTGGCTCAGGCGTGAGTGGCGGCTAGCATAGCGGCAGCTTTGCTATTTAGCGGGAATATCAGCAAAGCCGATAGAGAAGGGCCGATAGACTAGAAAAGGCCAACATCAGCCCGATATATCGTCTCTGCCGATTTATCGGTCGTTCTCTAATTCAAACTCCCATTAGACAGCGCTGCAAGCGTTATGTCAAAATACCTTCGATGCTCACCAAATATGGAGTTTAGCTATGGAGTTGCGCTAATAACGACTTTCGCTATGTACTTCCCAAAAAGCTCTAAATAAAAATGTACAAACAACTGAAAACAATTCCTGTTCGGCACCTCCATTACTGCCACGCACAGGTCGAAAGTCTGCAACCGCTCAATACATTGGAGGTGCCAAAGAGGCAGTTTTTCGGTTGCTTGTACATGTTTATTTAGACTTTTTTTGGAAATACATATCTGCCGTAACGGTAGTAAATGAAGATAGTTGCTCAGCGAAACGCCATATTTGGTGAGTAACGAACATATTTTGACAACGTTTGCAGAGCTGTGTAATGGAAGTTTGAATTGGAGCTTCCTGGGCGTTAGAGACGAGACACGTCATACTCCTCGTCGACATCTCTAACACACAGACACTGGAACAGTGTGCAGCCAGCCACAGGAGGGAGTCCGTGTTATTCTGTATCCTTCATGACATTCGGCATCTTTGATTGTGCATAAGCATTAGGATGCTTCTATGTCTGTTCTATTCATGTTTTCGCTGTGTATGTATTTGACTGCCAGGAGACAGGACAGTTACAACACTTGTGAATGCATGCAGATTGTACTTTGCATTGTACATGACAATGGGCATCTTTTACCTGTGTGTATTCAACAGGTGCCCGGCAACAACACCACCACTCCAGCAGAAAATGTCAAAGCAGCTGTTGAACACCATCCCCCTGCAGAGCCCCACTCTCTCCTCAATGATGCTGTCTCTGAGACTGTTACCATAGGAACGCTTCCACCCCTCCACTTCCTGAATGAGTCTGTGTTCGAGCAGACGGCCAGTGAGCGAGATGACGACGAGAGGATCCTGTCTCGGACCGCCGCCCAGAGCTCGGACCTCATCTCTGGGGTGTACGAGGGAGGGTTAAAGGTGTGGGAGTGTACCTATGACCTCCTGGAGCTGCTAGAGAGAGAGGGGGAGACGTTCGGGGGGAAGAGGGTTCTGGATTTGGGCTGTGGCGCCGGACTGCTGGGCCTTCTGGCGCTAAAGAGAGGCGCAAGTCAGGTCCATTTCCAGGACTATAATAGAACTGTTATAGAACAGCTCACACTGCCTAACGCACTGCTCAACTGTCAGCTGGAAGGGGAGGAGGAAGAAGAGGAGAAGGGGAGGAAGGGAAAGAAACGGGGGCAGCAGCAGGAGGAGGATGATGAGACAATTATAGAAGAGGACAAGACGAAAAAGAAGGAAGAGGCAAAGTCAGAGGAGAAGAAGAATGAACAGAAAATAGAGGGAGAGGACGGCAGCCCGTCGCCCAAGAGGCAAGCCCTGGACCCATCCCAGCACTCAAAGCTGGCCTGCTGTCGTTTCTTCTCGGGTGACTGGACAACGTTCCTTGCGCTGGTCCTCAAGGAAGACCTGTCCCCTAAATATGACATCATCTTCACCTCAGAGACCATCTACAACACGGCATACTACTCAGCTCTTCACGACACCCTCCACAGACTGTTGGCCCCGGGGGGAGTGGTCTACCTGGCCACCAAGGCCCACTACTTTGGGGTGGGGGGTGGGTTACACCTGTTTGAACAGTTTATGGAGGACAAGGGAGTGTTTGATATGGAGAAACTGTGGGACGTGGACCAGGGGCTACAGAGACATGTTGTGGCCATGCACTTCAAAACAACAAACAAGTCTTGACTTTTTACTTTGTGTACAGTTTCAATGAACTGAAAAAGAAAATATTTTTCAAATTAGTTTTTACTCAATGCAGCTGGAACTTCTATGCTACATAAGGTGTGCTAACGACCCTCTTTTCAATCTATTTCAAATAAACCTTTTCCTATAAAGAAGACCACCTGTGTGTCAATTGGGACATGCTGCAAAGAATCATGACTTCCACATAATTAAAATGACAGTATGTTTGATTGTTTGACAGATAATGAAAAGACACAGAATATTTAAATATATATATATAAAAAAGACTTGCTGTAGTCTAGTAAGTAGGTATGACAGTCTGGCTTTTTGTAACCTTGGTGGTATAACCTTGTATGTCAAATACTGGAGGTGTGCTTGATTTACGGAAAGGCAGATTAAGGAGGAGTTTGTGAAGCTTCACCAGTTGAAGAGGACAGCAGGATAGCTGCACTGATGGAGGGAAAGAAGCAGAAGTCTGATGATAAAGAAGATTGAGGCGATGAGCAGATATTCTATATCCCATTACCATGGCACTATTCCATTGGTTCCATTGTAGTGTGCAAACTAGGCCAATCAAGTATTTCGGCAAATGTATTTGGCGCAGGTCTGTTTTTAACAGGACATTGCTTCTTATGTTTGCAAGTACATACTGTACAAGTTTCTGTACAGTACTCAATGTTAACATATGAAAATGTATTCAACTCAGTTACCATTTGTTATGTGTATGTTTGTGAAATACACTATAAAGAAAAGCTGAGTTTGTATTCATTTTTGATTATGGGGTCATAAGTGGTAGTTGAAGTAGGCGCAATATACTACCCAAAAGAAGATACCGTTTCATGTCGACTTTACCCTTTGTTCACATACCTCTCTCACGTTCTATATAGACTATTAGAATAGGGCTAGTGCCACTAACTGAAGTGCAGGAGAAAAGTGGAGAGGAAATAAAGCAATAAAGGTCTTTTTACAGGGGGTAGGGAGGGGGGAAGGAAAGGAAATGGGCTCACTGACCTTTGCATGTGATTCCCAAGTGTTTAAACAGCACCATGAAAGCCAGGCTTGTTTCTAATGTCCGCCACAAAATGTCAATTGCAACTTATCCCACCTGCCCAAGGACACGGTCTGAAAGTGGAGTCTGGCATCACTGTAGTGTAGCACATCTATTTTACAGTGGGGCTTTATGTGGTCTCTGTGTCTCCTAATTCACCTTTTCACATTTCGTTGCCCATTATCCATATTCTTTTGTATAAACTTTAAAGACTTGGCAATGTCATCATGTTACAATTGTTACAATATAATGTTATCAAAGATAAAGACTCATCAAAATGTATGCTTTTATGTGGCAATCTTCTAGAAGGGTGACCATATTGGATGTGTCATCGAATAAATATTGTAAAGTGTCGCATCATGATTGACACTTTTACTTGAAAAGATTCACTTAACTTATTACGGTAAACCTATGAGTTGGAACCAACCAGGGTAGATTCTATTGAAGAGAAGTCAAGCATGGTGACATACTGGTATAGCTAGAGGAATCCCCTTTTAGCTTTATCATGGAAATCTAAAGCTTGTGGAAATACTGTAACACAGACTGAGAGACAGGAGGGAAATGCACAGTAAGTCCCCTGTAGCTCAGTTGGTAGAGCATGGCGCTTGCAGCGCCAGGGTTGTGGGTTCGTTTTGGATAAGAGCGTCTGCTAAATGACTAAAAATGTAAAACCAGTGGGAGAGAAAGGGGGATTTCCTAGGAAGAATAATAAACAGGGCAGCACCACCTAAGCGGGTAACACATGTGTGGCTGTCAATATAACATGACGAGGAAGAAGGATTAACGTGGGTTTTATGGTTATCATATGTCATCTTCCGCTTACTGATAGTTTGAGTACACTTTCATCTAAATGATGTTGTGTGTCGCATTCATCTCTATGTATGACTGATTGGTTCCAGTCGTTGACACTTGCACACTACCTCGAGTGCCCTGTTTCATCCATTAAGATTAAGATCACTTTATTGGTCAATTCCAACTGAAATTTGACTTCCCCCAAAGCCATCAGAAAGATACATGTACAGTGCCTTCAGGAAGTATTCATACCCCTTGACATATTTCCAATTTTTGTTGTGTTACAGCCTGAATTCAAAATTGATTAAATATTTTTTTAAATACACACTATCCCATAATGACAAATTGAAAACATGTTTTTTTAGAAATGTTAACAAATGTATTGCAAATAAAATCCAGAAACTTTGTAGAAGCACCTATGGCAGTCGTTACAGTTGTGAGTATTTTCCAGGTAAGTCTCTTAAGAGCTTTCCACACCTGGATTGTGCAACATTTGCCCATTTATTCTTTTCAAAAGACTTCAAGCGCTGTCAAATGAGTTGTTGGTCATTGCTAGACAACCATTTTCAGGTCTTGCTATAGATTTGCATGTAGATTTAAGTCAACTGTAACTCGGCCACTCAAGAACATTCACTGTCTTCTTGGTAAGCAACTCCAGTGTAGATTTGGCCTTGTGTTTTAGGTTATTGTCCTGCTGAAAGGTGAATGTTCCCAGTACATCACTGGGGCCAAGCTTCCTGCCATCTAGGACCTCTATACCAGGCGGTGTCAGAGGAAGGCCCTCAAAATTGTCAAAGACTACAGCCACCCTAGTCATAGACTGTTCTCTCTGCTACCGCACGGCAAGCGGTACCGGAGTGCCAAGTCTAGGTCCAAAAGACTTCTCAACAGCTTCTACCCCCAAGCCATAAGACTCCTGAATAGCTAATCATGGCTACCCATACTATTTGCACTGCCCCCCCCCCACCCAATCTTTTTACGCTGCTGCTACTCTGTTAATTATTTATGCATTAATTATTTATCACTGTTAATTATTTATCACTTTAACTCTACCCACATGTACATATTACTTCAACTACCTCAACTAGCCGGTGCCCCCGCACATTGACTCTGCACCGGTACCCCCCTGTATATATAGCCTCCCTACTGTTATTTTATTTTACTTCTGCTCTTTTTTTCTCAACGCTTTTTTGTTGTTTTATTCTACTTTTTTATTTAAAATAAATGCGCTGTTGGTTAAGGGCTGTAAGTAAGCATTTCACTGTAATGTCTGCACCTGTTGTATTCGGCGCATGTGGTCAATAAAATTTGATTTGATTTGAATTAATCTCCCAGTGTCTGTTGGAAAGCAGACTGAACCAGGTTTTCCTCTAGGATTTTGCCTGTGCTTAGCTCCATTCCGTTTCTTTTTTATCTTGAAAACTCCCCAGTCCTTAACGATTACAAGCATACCCATAACATCACTAAGCTTGACAATATGGACAGTGGTACTCAGTAATGTGTTGTATTGGATATGCCCTAAACAACACTATTCAGGACAAAAAGTGAATTGCTTTGCCACATTCTTTACAGTATTACTTTAGTACCTTGTTGCAAGTACGATGCATGTTTTGCGATATTATTCTGTACAGGCTTCCTTCTTTTCACTCTGTCAATTAGGTTACTATTGTGGAGTACCTACAATGTTGTTGATCCATCACAGTCATTAAACTCTGTAACTGTTTTAAGTCGCTTTGGATAAAAGCGTCTGCTAAATGGCATATTATTATTATTATTATTATTATTAAAGTCACAATTGGCCTCATGGTGAAATCCCTGAGCGGTTTCCTTCCTCTCCGGCAACTGAGTTAGGAAGGACGCCTGAATCTTTGTAGTGACTGGGTGTATTGATAGACCATCCAAAGTGTAATTAATAACTTCACCATGCTCAAAGGGATATTTTATTTTTTTATCTACCAATATGTGCTCCTCTTTGCGAGGCATTGGGAAACCTCCCTGGTCTTTGTTGTTAAATCTGTGTTTGAAATTCACTGCTTGACTGAGGGACCTTACAGATTATGTGTGGGGTGCAGAGATGAGGTAATCATTCAAAAATCATGTTAAACACTATTATTGCACACAAAGTGAGTCCATGCAACTTATTATGACTTGTTAAGCAAATGTTTACTCCTGAACTTATTTAGGCTTGACATAACAAAGGGGTTGAATACTTATTGACTCAAGACATTTCAGCTTTTCCTTTGTAATTAATTTGTACACATTTCTAAAAACATAATTCAACTTTTAAATTCTGGGGTATTGTGTGTAGGCCAGTGACAAAAAATCTCAAAATAATCCATTTGAAATTCAGGCTGTAACATAACAAAATGTGGAAAAAGACAAGGGGTGTGAATACTTTCTGAAGGCACTGTACATATACAGGTTTTGGAAAGGTGCAGGGGGTTGCCACTCTGGGAGCTGCTGCACAGGAAAACATGCATTGGTTGGTATCTGTGTGTTTGAGGGCACAACAGCAGGCAATGTCATCTAGGATTTGATACCGGCAACGTCTGGTTGCTAGCTCACTTCCCTCCAGATTTTTCCCATCAGACCCGGGACTCGAACTGGCAACCCTCCAGTTGTTGGCTCGCCTCTCTAACCGCTAGGCTAATCATCGGTTCAATCATGCACATAGTGTAGACCTAACAGTGGAGACATTGTTATTTTTCTAGATTGGTCTAGATGACCCCCCTCTCCACACACACTAATCAGAATCAATGACGCAATAACCACAATTGACATGTGAGAAAAAAACTTTTATTTGTGGTTTTGTGGAAACCTAATTGTATTCCACCAACTCTTGAAGCATGCCTCTTTGTTAAAAAAGGGCAAAATGTGACTACATAAAATATCCACTTCCTTTTCACTCAAACACACAGACACCAAACAATGCATGCCTCTTCACCTACACTCAGCAGCTGTTCTGAGGCTGAGGGGGAATTCCTGTTTCCTCCACCAGACTAGGGCGGCATATCAATACTCTAACACGGGTTCCTCCTCTCTTACCCTTGTCTCCTCTTCATCTGACAAGAGAGGACGTGACAACACAATTCCTCATAGGAATTCAGCTTATTTTTTTGCCAATGTTTTTAGATCAGTGAAGAGAGAGATGAAGGTGAGAGAA